GAAGAATCTCGGTTATTCACAAAACTGAAAACGACTCCTCCCAGCAACTGAAACATAATCCGCTTGCGAAAACAATCCATTACCGCTCGAAAAGCGAACAACAAGTTCATTCCAAAAATTACATCATACCCCTTTATCTCTAAAGTAATCAAATCCACAATCAATTCGTGTTCCCCAATGCAAAGCACGCAACCCTTGCAGACTCGGCTAGTATTTAACCATTCTCCCGTGGGCAAGCTAATGTTCATAACATGCTCTAGCTTCGCGAAACTCAATCCCAAATCAAGTGCATATGTCGTGCGTACAAATGAGTGTGTTGCACCAAGGTCAAATAATATTCGGGCCCAAGAATTGTAAATAAGGACGATACCTTCCACAACGACATTGGCAATGTCCTCCTCCGACTGAGTCAAAGCAAATACTCGCCCTTGGTTGGCGCCGTCGGGGGGTTGAGCTTGTATCGGTCATTGTAGTGCAGGCCTCGGTGGTGGTGGTTGGGTTGCTGGTACTTGTTTGGCGGTTTGGATAGGCCCCTAAGGTGGAAAAACTGGGCAATGCATTCGAATATGTCCCACACCTCCATATGCAAAGTAGGATCGTGGGGTAATATTGGCTCTAGTCTGAGTGTCTCCCTCTCCTCAGGCTGTCAAAAGTCGTTGTCCACCTGTCTAGTCTGGGCGACGGTATGGTGTCGGTCTCTGTGCCACACTGGTGCTGGCACCCGTCCGGATCAGACCTCTTCTCGAGAAGCCCTGTCGTTGTTGGCTATCCTCTATGTCTCTCTCTACTAGTGTAGTTCTGTCCACCAAGTCCCCAAAATTATGGATCCTGAGAGCCACCAACTTCTCCCTGATGATCGCCCTCAGACCCTGCTCGAAGCGCTTGGCCCTGTCGGCCTCAGTAGATATAAATCCCGTAGCATAACGGGAGAGCTCGTTTAACTGCCTTTCATACTCAGCCACGGTCATACTACCCTGTCGTAGTGCAAGAAAATCTGTCTTCATTCGGTCTCCGACCGATTCAAGGAAGTACTTATCTTGGAAGAGTTGATCAAACTCTTCCCAAGTGAGTGTGTTGGTGTCCTTTCTCCTCTTTATGGCATCCCACCAATAGTCGGCCTCCCCCTCAAACAGGTAGGTCGCCAAACCAATTCTCAACTCCTCGACAACTCCCATTCTGTCACAGATCTTCTTCACTCGGCGGATCCATCTATCCGCCTCCAAAGGATTGGAGCTCCCTTGGAAATTGGGTGGTCGTTGTCTTAAGAATTCCCGAAGAGCTATCATCCTTCGGTCTCTGTTCCCATTGCCCAGTACTTGAGCGAGAGGATGAGCTCCACCATTGTGGTTGTTCTTACCATTTTGGTTTTGTACCAAAGTGGTGAGCTCCCTCAAGCATTGGTAAATGCCTTGCATGGCATTCGAAGGTGGTGGTGGTGGTGGATTCGCTTGACCTCCACGGCCACGCCCACGTCTATGTCCCCGTCTGTTCATCCTGCACTTCAATTCACAACTTAGTTCATGGATGTACAGGACATCCTAAATAATAGGTTAAGCTAAAGCATAGAAAGTTTATAAAATTTTACTCAAGGATTTGATTCACCCTAATCCTAAAGCTCTAGAGGTGATTTCATAACCTACAACTCCCATGTAAGACCTAAAGCCTAAGCTCTGATACCAACTTTGNCTAAGGCATAGAACGTGTATAAAATTTCACTCAAGGATTTGATTCACCCTAATCCTAAAGCTCTAGAGGTGATTTCATAACCTACAACTCCCATGTAAGACCTAAAGCCTAAGCTCTGATACCAACTTTGTAACACCTCAAAACACACACTGGACGACATTACATTCTAAAATCAATCATATCATGAGAGCACTAATATAATTCCTTAAGAAACAAGACTTCATTTGTCATCCACGAATATTTACAACATTATCCAAAAGAATAAGCCCAAGTCATGGCTATTACATCTCAAAAATTAATTAAAGAAGCGCAGCGGAATAAACAAAAGAAGCTAGACTACACAAT